ACCTCAACCATTCTGTGATTCTGTGAAAGCATATGGAGCCTCCTTTGAAGCCAAAACTGTTGTATCCTATTGCTTAAATAAACATATTCAAGAACCTTTGGGGGATTACCTCACCTAGGTGTAAAAATAAATGTTTGGGGGATGATTTTAATCATTCCAAAAACAGGCTCTTCTGCCCTTTGTAAAAGACTATATAATAAATATAATAAATATCAACGTTACTACAAGGGAGTCAGAATAAAGGAAAACTCATTTACAAATATTTACTGGTTGCAGATTGAGACTGCAAATGCAGTTATTCATGTGCTTGCATTTATGCATGTCACCATCTCGGAGCCCAAAAGCACTTCAATTAGTAATTTATTTAACCAACACAGATTATATCTGAGTCTTGCTTGTTAGGTAAAGAACTTTGTAGTCTTGGTCATAAATTTATTTATGAACATCACAATTTTATGTTTACACTACTAATTTGTTATTGATTTATAATAAAGGTTTATGTGGTAGGTATATAAGATCCCAAGAGTAGAACCATTACTGTAAATGACTGATGGGATAAGCTGAAGAACTATTCCTAATTAAATCTTATGTGCTTTACCCACTAGGATTAATAATATTCTCACTGATGTCCACAAAAATATATTTTACTTGCTTGTTTAGCCTGACATTGATTCATTTACAGATAGGAAATGATACAGAAAACAAGTGGAATGGAAAAATGCATTTCAATCAGGCTATATTTAGGTTTAAAAATTATATAATTATTGAAATTATTTAAAGTAATTTATTTTTCAGTACAGGAATTAAGTTTACATATGTCTACAATAGTTAATGTAATTCAAATAATATTAAATGATGCTGTTCAGCTGATGCTGTTCAATTTGTCCTACACCAAATAATTGAACTTCTTTATAACCATACATGTCCAAGCACATGCATGCACAGCAGCCTGACCAAGCAGATGAGAGTGAGTTCAAAAGTGTTTTGACATCTATTTCACAGAGACCGCCTGTGGTCAATCAGAGTTTCCTAGGAAATGCTATTTTTTTTCCCTCTGTTCTATAAAATCAGGTAGCATGTAATTAGAACCTGAATTATGGCATTTTGCTTTTCATGGCTCAATGATTTATTTAAAAAAATCTGTTGTGAATGCATAGATTAAGCTGGCATCTTACAGATGGAGAAACTACACTGCAGCTAGTTATGTTCAGTGGTATAAATACAGGGGTATAAGACCTTCTACTGTCTTTGCATTAGTATTTAAAATAAATATTTCTGAGGCAAACACCTCGTGCACATTTAGCATGCCAGACCTATCAGGGATAAGGAAAGTCTGGTCCTTTCCTTTCCAGCTCTCACATTCTATTCCTAGGGCATTTGATTCCATTATCTTCCTTTTTTGATGAGATCCACTTCATCTTCACCCTCTCCAAAATAATCTATATTATTTCATTTTATAATCTTTTAATTTTCACCTTTGTAATATCACTATTATTTGGTCTTTTCTGCCTCTGCACACACAAGCAGTCATGTATCACCCTATTTAGTTTACTTCCTGATACTTACCCTGTGCCTTTACATTCTGTGGGCATTTCTGCTAACTTTACTTTCCCTGCTTACCATTCTGAGTATTACAGTCTGAGTCATTCTCTTGACCCCCTTTTCACCACTTCATCAGATGAATGATTCTGCTCCTTTAAGACTCTTCAACACTTAGCTGTTCCCTATTTATCTGCTGTTATAGTTTATCCTACTATATATCTTAAGTTAAGTTAGACAATGATACAGTGAATGTGCTGGAAAACTGACAGTAACTCTTCAGCAAATTTTGAAAATGCAGTGGTTGAACAGCATACCCTTCTATCAGATAAACTACTGTTTAAAATTAATAAAAATAAAACTATATGCAAAATAGAAGTTTGGGGCTTGAGGGAGTTATGGTCAAACTGTATTGAACCAATGAGCTAATTTCTATTACACGTCCTTGGCTAAGAATTCCAGAAATAGTGCTCAGAATAAAAAAGAGCATATCCCTCTCTCCTTTGCCTATGCAATAGTGGCATTGCAGAGTTGATGATGTGTACAGCTATTCAGTCAAAATAATGATTTTGGACCCCTCTCCCTCAGATATTATTGTATCTGATTTGGTATTTGATGTGCTTTACACAATTAGATGGAGGACACTGTACTATGCTGTATAAAAGGTCCCATATGATCAATATTGTGCCTGGGTTTAACCTGAAAAAAATTCTCCTAAACCAAACAGACTTTAAAATGCCATTTTAGATAGATGGACCAGCACTAAATGTGTCTTTTAAAGAAAGGATACTTTTCAAAAACTTAGTGATATATTGGAAGATTATTGGGGGAAGAAAGGGCTGTTATACTTTTACTAGTCCAGCAGCTACGCCGGCTGTGTTTTAACTGAACCAAGATCCTTATGTACAATATCAAAGTATATGAAACAAAAAACCAATAATCTTACTTTATAACGTTGTTTTGTTTTTTTTCTCTTGGAAGGTTCAACATCTGTCTGAAAAACGGTTCTACTTAGAAATTCTGAAGAAACATGAAGAGAGCTTAGAAAAACAGAAAGCTGAACTTATTAATCAAAAAAGCTGCCTTCTTAAAGTCCTTGTACGTTTCCAGCCATGGTATTCAGACAGCTCTTTCCTACTGTATGAGAGTGGCCAGCTTTAAAATTTGAAAATATGGAAGAAGTAATATTTAAATCTGGAAAATATATAATTTTTTATTCTAGCATACTTATAAATGGAAATGTAGATAAATTCTCACTTTTAATTTAAAACATAATCTAAGGTAATGTGTGCTGCAGTTTATCTACAAAGCTAAATTAACATTCCTGAATTCACTTTGTAATGTCTGCTGTTAAATGACTGAACTCCAATTCTGACTTTGTAATTTCCTTTGTAAAAAAAATTAGGAAAGTCTCACCCTAAATTAGACTGTCTCATCCACTATAAACCATATTGAGAGGGATCAAAAGAAAAACTCAGGGAGGTCAACACCATATTTTAGGAATCCTGACATACCACACAACCTCTTTGATGCTAGGGCACACCTAGCCACCTCTTAAAAGGTAGCTACTTGCAACATATACAGACAACAAGCTTTTCAGTTCTCTCTTGTGCTAATCTGAATATTGCCTTCCTCTTACTTCACTGTGGGTCTGTAGATATTAAGAAATGTCACAGATGAGTAGTCTTCTCTGCAAATGTATTTGTACTTTAAATCAGAAGAGCTGTTTTAAACATTCAGTATGAATCACCAGTATTAACCCAAAATCTTTAATCAGATATCCTTTTAATTAAATAATATTGCTTCAGTATCCAAAGTATTCCCAATCCTAAGTATACACAGAAAAAAAGAAAAATAAATAGTATAAGTATCTTAGAAAAATTATTTAGCTATAAAAGCTAAATATCGTTTGAAGAAGTGTGAAGTTTCTTTTAATTATAACCAGTCAAGTTTGATATATAGATTATCATTTCTTTCTTCCTGTATATATGGATCATTTCATTTTATTTAATTTAGCAATCAGCTAAGATTTTTTTAAAAGGAATTTAATATTGCTTTTCCTCTTTAGAATATTTTTTCCAGAAAATGAAACAGTGACTTCCTATCAATTATAGCTTTCTTGGCGGTTACCGAGGGAGTTTAAATAAGTCTGCATTCTGCACAGCAATCAACACCACCTTTATTTCATTTAATAACAATCTAAAAAAAGAGTGGTCATACTATGCTACTGACTTTAAACAGAACTTTATAATAATTTCAATAAAGAGCTGAACTGAAAAACTGCTGGCACAAGTCTGTAATGTTATGTAGTGATTTTTTTAAATGTTTTATTGTTAAGAATATAACCTTAATTTTTTAAGAAAAAAAAAAAAAGGTTAAAGCAACAGACAAAATGATAGAGCTGTAGATCATTTTCATGTTCTTGTAAGTCAGGAAAAGTAAATATACTACATTTATACTACAAGTTTAAGGATAAACAATACAAGCATGTTTTAGTCTGCCTAGCTTAACAAAGACTATTTTTTTACTCTGAACATTCAATTTTTCCTTTCTTTTTTTCAGACAGATACGAAGAGAAAAATGACTGAAGAGGAAGATAATTTTACTAGAGAAGTAACAGAGTTTAATAACGAATATGGACTAACAAGTAATAGAGATCTTCTGATTAAAAAAAAATTCAAGGCTGAAATAAATGATTTAGAGAATGAGGCAGCTCTGTTGGAAAATGGTATGTCCTGTATTAAAATATTTTATTTTGGATTACCAGAGAATGAATACAAATTAGGAAATCATAGCCGTGCAAGAAAATAATTTTAATTCCATTCCCTTGCTGTCTGGAACTTCCTCTTAACACTAAACTGAAAGAGTGTGGTCTAACATACCACATTAGATGAGAATAATTAAAGCCTCTTCTGTTCCCTGTCCTCTTCAGTCCTTTCTGACTGTGAGCACTATGAGGAGAAGAAGCAGACCTGCAGAAGTGGCTCACAATATCTAATGTCAACCAGCACAGAGGTGCACTGTCATACATAATGTTCTATATTAGGTTTGCAATTATTATAATCAACTATGGTTGAGTTATGTAAATTTCCTTAGCTTCAAAAGAATTATATGCACAGATACCTTGTAGGACTGGTCTTTTACTGTCACAGTATGACTTTGTCTTTGATTTAAGATACAGAATGTAAGATTTCTCAGAACAGAGGGTCAGACTGAAAAGCAATCCTTCAGCAAGGAAATAGGAGTCATCATGGATCACAAGCTGAACACGAGTCAGTGATATCAGAATGCCAACACCATACTGAGACATAAACATAATTCTGACCCCTAAGACACGCAAAACAATCCTTCACTCTATTTAGGGCAGTTAAGCTCTTAGCTGGAGTACTGTGCATCTAGCTTTGGATGTTGCACTTCAAGAAAATATGTGGACCAGCTGGAGAGAATCCACATGGGGCCACTGAGGTGGATAAGAATTCTGGAGAACATGAGAAGGAAAAAAATTAAAGAATTGGGACTATTTAACCTATGGAGGTAAAGACTGATGAAAGATGGTTACCAGTCTTCAAATCATTAAACAATTCTGTACAAAGGAAATTAATATATTCTACATACCTATAATGAACTCAATAAAAACAAGTGTAAACCACAATAGGGGAGAGGCTGGTTGCCTGTTTAGAAATCTTTCTAAGAACAGTGAACAACTGAAACATTCTGCCTTAGGAGATTCTGTTACCAAAGGAATTAGGAGTCTCCATTGCCAAATGTCTTTAAGAACAGGTTAGACAAGCATCTGTTAGAAATGACAGAGGTACAGCTGATCCTGCCTTCAGGAGGAGGGATGCAGTAGATGACCCCTCAAAGCCCTTTCCAGTCTTGTGATTCTATGATGCATCAAGCGCTAGCATTTTGAATTCCTGAAATCTGATGTAAAGTTACTGAAATATGACTATCCATTTGAGTTCGTACCTGGTGGTACCTTATCTCTGTATTTCCTGTGGCTCTCATTCTGATCTACAACTGAAAAAAGTCTGTGTTTGGTGGCACCTGTTACTTTTAATCATTATTTTTTACATATTCAAACAGATCCAAACAGTCAAATAATATCTCAAAGAAGAACATGAAAGGTGATTAACATTACTCTCTGGGTTCAATTGCTGTCTGGATTCCATCCTTTTAAAATGCACCTTTTCTGAAGTACAGCTTGTCTGTATTTCTGACTGTTACAGTCCTGAGCATGCTGATAAGTGAAAAGAAAAGTTTAAGGACCTCATAACAAGGAAATTATGTGAGGACCTCCAGTTGTCAGCTAAACAATCACAATTAATTCCAGATGCTGTCAACAGTCGGGTTCAAATGTCCATAACGCTAAACAAAATAAGTTCTTTTTAGTCCTGCTGAGAGGTGTTTGTTCACCACCTATTTAATAAGTCATCTTCCTTTATAACTGGAATATCTCTTAAGGAAAACATTTGTAATTCTTTTTATGCCCAGTCAACAAAATATGTCAAACATCTCAAAAACATTAAAAAACTATTTTCTTTCATAGTTATAAACACATTATATGACATATAATTTCCTGTGAACTTTTATATGACTGATTTTAGTTTTATATTTTAGGTTCTTTTTGACCAGCTGAAGATTGGTAGAAATCATTAAGAATATTTAAGGTTATATCATGAAGACTAAAGCTGCAATGCATTTTAATTTAAAATATTTTTTTTTCTTAGAAATTGAGTCAATGGAACATAAAAATGTTCAGCTAAATGCACTCCAGCTGGAGAAGAGTGAATTAAAACAGTATTTATTTACCCTCCAAAGCAAACTCAAAGGTATGCCTGATAAACACTTGTTATGATAATTATTTGTGGCTTCACTAATGCTTCTGAAAAATCTTTTCTGTTAAGTCATTTTTCTCAAGAAAAAGAAGTGATAGAAACAAGATTTAAATATATTTTTACATTATGTAATACATTTTTATACATGGTTATAACAAATATCATGGATTTCAATAAGATTTATTTTAAATGTCAGTGATACTGAAGTATACAGATTTGCTGAATCATAACCTATAAACATGAAAAAGAAATGTTTACTTTTGCTGGTATCCTTAAATTGAGAATTTAATGTTTCAAAGTGAACTTAAAATCAACATAAATATTGTTTAAAACCCATTAACCTACAATTAAAGAATGTCATTAAACTTCAAATGTTTAACAAGCAACATAGCTTGGACTGATAAAGACAGATTTTACCTAGGTGCTAAACCTCTGAGTTGTAAATTCTACTATCATCTTTTTACTGACGTTTGTGTGTTAGTGTATGAAAGTCTGTGCATAAAAAAAGAAGTCAACATACAGGAAACCCATAAAAGGAACAACTAAAAAGATACAGAGGGAACCAAGAAAGGTTCTGTTTCAAAGGTGATCACAGGCCACAGGGATGATTTTGAAATTTGCATTAAAAATGTAATCTAGAAGTGGTTTAGTAACTTTTTTACAAATGTGTTAATAACACGCTATAGTAAGAAATCTAAAAAAGACAGGACATAAATATGATCATAAATTGTCTGTGAAAAGGAACAAAATATTCTAGAAGATTGCCATATGCATACCAAATACAATAAAATAATTAATATTCTTGAATTGGATGCCTTTACCCTAAAAACAGTTTCACAAAAAAAAAAAAAAAAAGGCAAAATAAATTTAGAAAATGTGGAAAGTCTTTGAATATGGATGATTAATATTTATTTATAAGGTAATTATTATTTTATGTTTAGACCTTGAGAAAGGAATCATGGAGGCTGAAAGAATGACAGAAGATTTAGAAGCAGAAAAAGTCCAAGTCACTGAAAAACCTCAGACTGATCCTGAATGTTTAAGGTAAGAGTCTCATGTTAATGAATTCCTGAATTTAATTTTAGGCCCATAACTAGGTGGCAATGACTATTTTAACTTTCCTGTACAATACTCCTTTGAAATCAGAAGATTCTTTCATTTTTTTTACAGAATATGAATTCCTGTTGTTTGTTACAGCCTTTCACCCGTACACACACACTCCAGTGATCTAAAAACTGAAATGGTTTGCAAGGAAGTCAGTTAAACATAGAGGAAAAGCAAAAGACTGCTCCTTGGGTGGAAGGCCAGTTCATTTTTTGTAAACATAGTGGTGGCACACAGAGTACCGATGATGAAGTACCCGATGCTATACATACTTCTGCTGAGTGGCTTCCGCAGAGCCGGACTGCAATGAAATAGATTGGCCACAATAACCTCCTTGGGTCAGGTGGGCCTTGTATTGAAGCTACTAAATGTAGATTTGTTTCCTTTGTGATCCCTACCATCAGTTCTATTTTTCTTTCTAATTAAGCTAGTTCAGAACAAAATTTTGAAGATTTAACCAAGACAGAAGACCTGGCATGATTTGATAATGGCCCATTTTTTGCTGAATATAAGTTTTTGAAAGAAAATGAAATATCAGCCCTATTACTAATTCTCTTCAACCTCTTACATGGTCTTGAGACATGGCCAAAATACCCTCAGCATAAAAATTATTTAGCTTACAATTCTGCATACAGTAGCAAAAAATTTGCATTCAACATATACATAAAAGACACAGTGTAAATAATAATAACAGCAGCAATTCTGTAAGAAAGCATGTTATAATTCACTCTCTTACATAATTCATTCCATTGTGATATATTAGGTTTTGTGATACATGAGGTTGTCAGCTTTATTCTAAATAACATACTTCCCTTGGAGTCGTTTACTGCCATGATGCCACTTAATATCCAAATTGGTGTAATTAGTTTTTTATAACAGGTTTCCTGTGTATAAGGTGCAGAAGTAGCAAATATTACATAACTTTAAATCTTTAGCTCTGCCACTGATTGCTGAGATCCTAGGCAAATCAAATCCATGTATGTTTGTCTTTCTACACAGTGATATTAACGCACAGCTCTCTGGAACAGTACTTTGGTTTTATCTGGGTGGAAAACACAACAGTAGATAAAATATTTTTAAATTCTGTTAACGAAAAATCCAGAAAATGTCATTTACAACCAAAGCAAGAAGGATGATGAAATTTTTTTATTTCATGAAATGTCACATTTTATGGTCAAGATAAGCTTACATTTTTTGATAATTACGTGTAGTTCAAAATATAAAGTGCTCCTACTGCTATTACTACTCACACAAAAAGCAAATGCTCCTTGAGATATGATAATATATTAAAGTAATTTTCTTGACATTGAATTTTTTTTTTTTTTTTACATTTGACATACTGGACAAAATTTAGGACAGATTTACCTAAATCATACTTTTACCTTGCACTTGCTTTTGATCTCATGTATACTCAGAAAACCTCAATAATTTAGAGAGAGAACTGAACAATTCAGATGCCAGAAGCAACACAGCTATGTTACTGCACTTCCATGTCAGCACTAATACATTCTGCTTTTCAGTAGAGCCAAGCAGGCAATCATCATTTGCCTACTTCTGTATGTCATAGCATGGTGCTGTTTAGAATGATCCCAAACATTACTGGACTCATACAACTCTATCCTTTTTTTTTATTTTTTAAATTTTTTTATTTTAACAAAATCTACTCATTACTTCTTGGTTTGGGCTACTGACTTAAGAGAATGAAAGGGAATTTAAAATATTACATGCTATACATAGCACAGGCACCCCCTGGAGGTACCTGATTGCCCTCCAGTACCTACAAGGAGGTCGTCAAGAAGATGGAGCCAGGGTCTGCACAGTGCTGCACAGTGAGAGGACAAAAGGCAAAAAGGAGAAGGTGAAATAAGAGGGGTTTAGAATTAATTTAAGGGAAAACTTTTTTATCATGAGGACAGTATAGACAAGGAAAATGTTGCCCAGAGAGGCTTTCATCCTTGAAGGTTTTAAGACTTGACTGGAAAAAGCCCTGAGTAACCTGGCCTGACCTGCTTTGATAAGGACATTGGGCTAGATGACCTCCTGACATCTCTTTCAGTCTGAGTTATCCAATGAACCAAGTATCATTGTGGATCACACGAGGGGAAGGACACAGCCCATAGATCAATACATATGCACTGGCTTGTGCCTACACTGCTCAGAGGCAGCATTATTTGCAACAAACCAGTCATCACCTCATTTCCTAGCATTTGATGAGATCGTAGCTGCTCTGGTCCCTCTGTAGTTTCTCTGTGACATTAAAATATAATGTCATGAAATGCATGAAATACTTAAAGGAGGTATGTCCAGCACAGCAGAGTGCTGGTTCAAAATGACAATGTTTAATGTCATACAGAATCTATTGCAAGAATATAATTTTAGTTTTTACTGAAAATCATATTTATATATTTTTTTTCTATTAAATAAACACAAAATTGTATTCTTTTTTTATGGAGCAGGAAACCATGCCACTTTTTAAACAGTAGAAATACAAATGTTTTTAATGCTTCTTTAGAACAAATGTGAGAGACAGTTAGCATCAATAACCTGACATATGTAGCTCCCAGACCACCCTGTAGGTCTGTTATTGTATCACATACCTAATCCCAGCTTAAAAATCAATATCAAAAGTAGCTGGCAAGGCAAGAATCTTCATTACAATTAAGTGTATATCTTAAAGTAAATTGCATTTCAGCTGAAGAATGTAGCCAGCTAATTCAAATTACAGCAATTCATCTTTGATCTGAGAAAAATGCCTTATACCATATCTGCAGTTTCATAACATTTCTCCCAAATCCATCAAAGAATTACAAAAGGTCATGAGAAGCACACACTGGTAATTCCAACAGCTGTTGGTGCTGCAGTTATAGACTTGTTCTAATATATATCAAATACAGGAAAAAGCTAACCAAAATTTGAATGTTAAGCACAGATATTAGTTATGGATAAGACACTGTACCCTCTTCCTCAAAGCAGGCAACCTGGAACTCTAAGTCTCATGATACAGGTAAATAATTCAGAGAAATAGTTAAGAAAAGAGGGCTTTTTTACAGAAAAAATCTGCTGTTGAAATCAAAAACCTTATTTTAATCGTCTGTTTTGCCAATGCCAACCCCAACACAAAAGAGCAGGAAAGGACTTTGGCGTCAGCTCTCTTGAGTCACATTTCCTTGGCAGGTAGCAAGTAGCATCACTTAAGTGGAACAATTCACGAGTCAGGCAGAGACAAACTGATACCAGTAAATTCCTAGCTATGTCATGTCACTATTATATTCATTGTACTATATTAATTATTTATCTTCTTTCTTTATTTTAATTTTATGTGTTGCCTTATGTAAAGCAACATATAAATAATTTTAATTAAATTTTATTTAAACTAAGAACAGACAGTTTCTACCTCAAATTGATATTTTCCACGCTATTTTTAAGATAGACTAGGGATAAATTGTTTCTTTGAAACCTGAATTTCTCTTCTACTTCAGAAAAGCAGTAGCAGAAGGGAAATGCATGGAGTCAGCTTACTTTGTAAATAGTTCAAGGCTTTGTATACTTGCCTAATTCCTGAAAATTTAGTATAGCTTCTTATACATCATAATATATGAAAATAAACTCCATTACCAGAATTAGGAAGGAAAAATGATGCTTTCTTTCATGCAAATCATGTAGGAAGTATGTTCATTAGAGATGAACAAATATTTCACACTAACAGTGGACTGCCTAAGGTCATGCAGGGTTCTGGTGGCTTAAAAAAAAATATTTGCAATTTAATTTTATGTTAAATTTTATAATCAGGAAATATCAATCTCTGGAGTAATATATGTGGTTCAAAATGAGTTTTTTAATGACAATCTCCTCATCGATTTTTTAAGCTTTTCTTTTTAATAGCAGTGCCCAGTGGAACTATTATAGCTTGAATTAGGTTAAAATAGGTTTCCATTATAAATTGGAGTATGGATTTACAAAAAGTAGATCAGATCTGACTAATGATGTCTTTCTTTAATAAGACAACCAATTGGTTAGTCAAAGAAAATGCTATGCCATCCATCTAGACATTAGAAAAGTATTTGATGTTATCCTGCATGGGAAACTACTAGTTAACCTGGGGAAGACATATTAAAATCTTTGAGTAAGGAATTAACTAAAAATAACAGTAATAGGTCTGAAAAAAGAAATTTTGGGTCTGGACAAAGGTAACTACAGTCACAACTTGTCTTGCTTAATGTTTTAAATAATAACTTTGGAGTAGAAAGTGTTTTAAGACAACAGTGCAAAACAACTGAAACACTCTAGACCTTGTAGACTGAAGTAACTAAAAAAGAGGAGGAATGTAATTATCCATAGTGCAAGTTTATGTACAGCTGAGGACTTCAATAATAGGTACCTGGAAGCAAAGGAGGAGAATGGCCTAAGCACACTGTAATCAAAAGTCAGCTATAACCATCAAAAGTAAATATAGCTGTGGAAAAGATGAAAGCAAGAGATATTTCCAACAAAAACCAGAAGGGTGTAAGAATACTGTGTACAAATCTCTCACCTACTTCTCAAGAAAGATGCATTCAACCTGGAATATGAGCAGAGAATGGAGAGCCTGTAATGCAGAGGGAAACAAGGACATTTCTAAATCCTTTCTAGCTCTGAGAAAATTATATAGTTCACATGAAGCAAAGTAGTACAGTATAGAGACACTAATTCCAGCAATCCGAACTGAGATCTGATTTTCCCTGTACAACAGAAAATTCAAGATATTTGAACTAGAAGGATCATTGACCCACATTTATTTTCCCTGCCTTTCAATAGGAATGTTATTGATCCCTAGAAACACATTTCACTTTTGATGTCTCTGGTGCTTGTAAATTTTTTCTTTCCTGTGTAACTTGGTCTAAAGTTTCTGTGGATAGTGGTCTGTGCAACTCTGGTTTGCTGTCTGCAGAGAAGCAAATCTC